CTAGTTACTTGGGCCAGCTCCTCCGGGGGAATCAGTGTTCGTTTATTTATTACAGTATTTATAATTTACACAAATATTAAATAGGCTCATAAATCCGTCTCTCCCCCCACTTGGAAAGTCAGACCATCTCTCTCTGCTCCTCCTACCTGCATACATACCACTGAAAAAAAGAACAAGGCCAATTATTAAAACCATTAATACTCTTACAGATGAAGCCATGGCTCAACTGCAGGACTGTTTTGCTCATACAGAATGGAGCATTTTTGAAATGCTGCATACGCGTCGGGAGACCAGGCCAAGTACTGGCGGGCAAGGACTGATCTTAAAAAGGGAATCAAGGAGGCTAAAGTGAGCTACACCAAAAAGCTGTCACAACATCTGTCTGCCAGCAACCCAAGGAGGGAAGGACTAACGCCGGGGACACACCGGCCGCGGAAGCGCCGCGAAAATGGGACCGCCTTTATTCGGCGCCCTTGTTAAGCTATTCTATAGACCACATGGGCCGCCGAAGCGCAGCGAATCGCCTCGCGCCGGCGCTCCAGCCCGCGCCGTGCAGCGATCATTTTGGCGTCTGCTCTATTTTTTTTGCGAGCCGCGGGTGAATCGCGTCAATTCTGGCAGGAAGTCAAACCTAGACATAAGAGGCAGGCCGGTAAAGTTAACAAAATAAAGCATTTCAAAATAAAATTCCGCAATAGTCAAATGTGTTCGTAATCAGACACTGCAGAACAACCACACTGTGATCTGTAGTTAGATCTAAATATTATAATCAGAAGTGGTTGTTTTTATCATCAGGGAGTTTACTTAAACACTCTGTATTGACTGAGAGACAAGAAAAGAGAGAGTTGGGATCGTTTAAGAATCTTTAATTTCTATAATTATAAATTCTTACAATCTACCAGGACTATCTCAATGATGGATGCATATGGATTTGGATGTTTCGTGTGTGTGTGTGTGTGTGTGTGTGTGTGTGTGTGTGTGTGTGTGTGTGTGTGTGTGTGTGTGTGTGTGTGCGCGGTTCAGAATCTCTAGGCTGACGTGGGCGGATCTGGTTGTTATGACTACAAATCACGAGGCTTCAGAAGCTGATGACATGAGCAGCCATTTTGCCGTGACTACGTACCATCTGGAGCCTTCTGTGTTAGATCAGGAAATGCCAGGTCCTCGGACCTTCAGATGTACTGGAGCTGGTAGAACAGCGGTCACAGCACGACAAAGCCCGTCGGCGCATCGACTCCCAGTAGTAGCGGCAGGCGTCAGCGAGTTCATCTCTTATTTTGAAAGGACGTCGTCTTGTTGTTCAAACAACGGAAATCTCCAGCTTGACAGTTCTCAGCTTAAAGTAGGAAAGTGCAGCTGGCCAGCCTGCACCTTTCTTAGCGATGACAAGGTGGAACTCCTTAGGAACTCAGCTTGAACAGAACTGAGGTTAAAATGGAACTGAGGATAAAATGGCGTTGCCTTTTTTTATATCCCCTAGTTGTTTATAGATCTTAGTAAACCGGATTGGACAACTTCATTAAACAACCCAGATTCTGCCCTACGACAGACGAAAGTTCTGATTGGCTGAGAACAATGTGTCATGCGTTTCCATGTTGATGTAGATCAGTCTGTCTGGTGCAGTCCTGTTTATTCATTAAACACATTAGGGTTGTCACGGTATGAAAATTTAACCTCACAGTTATTGTGACCAAAATTATCGCGGTTTTCGGTATTATCGCGGTATTTTTTAAACGGTGTTGCATATGTTCAGAAAGCATAGATAGTCCTGTTCTACACAAACTGAAATAGTTTAACAGTGTTTATTAAACCTAAAATAACACAAAGCCTTAGCAAAAGTGCAACTTTTCACAAGTAAAGGAACAAATAGCTTATTTTTCTGGAACATGTTACAGTAGTCAGTGCAGGTTTAAATTATACAAATCCAAACATTCAAACCATAAACAATATGTAAACAAATCAAAGAAACACCACTTGTTTTCTCATATACTTGTTTTCTTCATTATCAAAATGAAAATCTAAAACTCCAGTCCACACTTGACTTGAGCACTGTACAAGTCAACCTTAAAAAATATGTATTTAAAATAAATAGCCACTTTAAACAAATTACTAAAATAACTACTACACTATGTGATCAAATCCAAATGTTCAAGTATAAATGGCATTGAATAAGTAAACAAATCAATGACAAGGAACTAATTGTATATTTCTCTTCATCATCAACAAATAAGATGCTTCATCCAGCAACAGGGTGTCCGTGACACGGTTTAAATGCTGGCAGAGGGCGCTGCGGCTGCAGTATATAGTGACTCGTTGCATTCTCCCTCAGCCAAAAGTCCTCACGTCATGCATTTAAGCTAAAATGCTAATGATAACCTACCTTGCACTGGCTGTAGAGACGTGGGTGATGGTCACGCAGATGTGCCATTCGATTGTTGCTGCATTTTGCAGACACTTGTTTCCTGCACGTTCTGCAAACGGGATAGCAGTCTTCTATTAACTGTCCCTCAGCGTTTTTCAGAAATCCCAAATATGCCCATACTTCCGATTTAGTCTTCTTTGAGGGCTGATGGATGTCCTGGGCGCTGCCGTCTCCTCCTTCGGCCATTATTTCAGCTTCAAAGTTTTGGTGCCGTTGCAAATTAAAAAGTGCGTGTACGCGCCGCGGGATCTTCAGCTGAAGCGACGGTGGCTGGTAAGGGTCACCGCGCTGAAACCGCGGCCACGGTAAACCCACCGAGATAATTTAGTTTTTTAAAAACTGGACGGTTATTTTTATTGTCAACTTTTTTACCGGGGTTTACCGCTATACCGGTTACCGTGACAACCCTAAAACGCATAACTCATGACATCTTTATTTCACAGATCATTCACCTGATTATTATTGATCAACATATGTTTTGACTAGCTTTATCACAAATAAAGTACTTTGATTAATTAAAAGCGTTCTTCTTCTGTTCTTCTTCTTCTTCTTCTTCTTCTTCTTCTGGAAGGTAAACATTCTGAAACCAGCACCCGACCTTGGCGATTCCTACACGTTGTTACTGTGTAAAGGGGCAGCTGTTAAGGGCAGACAATTATGATATTCATAACGCTACAACACGAACACGCACACACACACACACACACACACACACACATCGAACTTGTGTGCGTGTGTAACCACGTGAAGGGGTGTGTGGTTTTGGGTGTCTTTTCACCGGAGCAAACAGGACAGACAGGCAGAAAGTCTGAGGCAAGCAGTTAAGATGGATGACTTTAAATTAATTATGGAAGTTGAGAAACACAAGGAGCTGTACGACCCCCGAAAAACATTATTTACGTACCCATTTCGGAAGAAACTGCTAGGATACAGCTGCAGAATTGGAGCGGGTTCCAAGAGATTCGACTGGCAGAAACAACTCATACCATAGGTTCACACACACACACACACACACACACACACACACACACACACACACACACACACACACACACACACACACACACACGTAGAGGAAAAGAGCTGAGAAAAGGCAGAGAGGAAATGGAGGACACCAAGTGTTTAAAAGAAAAACTACAGCTGAGCCGAGGCGCGCCTCGACTGGGGCGCGTCTGATTTGAACTGAGGAGCGGCGAGTAGCGGCCGAATTTCGTGAGCGATTCGCTTCTCGGCGCTTCCGCGGCCGGTGTGTCCCCGGCGTGAGACATATTACCAAATACAAGGACAGCAGATCTAGCACTGAAATAGGAGCTTCATTAGCCGAAGAACTCAACTATTTCTTTGCTCGTTTTGAGAATACCAGCTTCCCCACAACTAACATCACTCCTATAACATCACCTGCTTAGTTTGGTTCAGATACACAAATACTCACACTTCAAGAACAACAGGTTCGCACCGTGTTCAGGGCTGTTCATCAGAGGAAAGCGGCTGGTCCAGATGGTATTCCTAGCTGAAGAACTGCGCAGAACAGCTGTCCATGGTATTTACCAAATTATTCAATCGCTCCTTGTCTGAAGCTATGGTTCCATATTGTTTGAAATCAACAACAATAGTCCCACTTCCCAAGTCTACTACAATCAACAGTCTCAATGATTACAGACCCATAGCACTCACACCGGTGGTGACCAAGTGCTTTGAGAAGCTGGTGCAAAAACATATCAAGGACTTCCTCCCACCCAGCAGCGCGGTGTAGCCTACATATTTTGTTATTTAAGTTCCTCCGGAGTAGCAGGACCGGCCAGACTATGAAAAAAATTGCGATTTATAGTCCGGAAAGTATGGTAGTTACTAGTATTTGAGATAAATTAGCAGGCTAAATACGTTTCATATATTTCCAAAACGTAATACTTGTTTGTATCTTGTACAGCCAAGTAGCCTTTATTCTGGACTCAGTACAATTTACCAAAAGTAAAGAGACATTCTACAGATGAAGTAAGCACAAGATAACTTACTGGAATAAACAGAATTATTATCATGAGAACCAGAACAAGAGAGCCTGATAACAGTCATGTGAACATAACTGTTAAAAAGTATGTATGTGTAATAGAAATAAAAATATATTAGAATTAGTGTAACTCACTGTGATCCAAAAAAAAATCAGCCATAGCTGATTAGCAATCACGAAATGAGGTCTGGGAGTTTTTAAGTTTCATTCTTTTATTTTATTTTAGTTTAAAGGCGGCAGTGACCTAAAATACATACGTATAATTTTACTTACCGAAAAAAATTAAGTGGAGACTCCTTGGACGCTCTTATTTGTGCAGTTAATGCCACAGCAAGTCATTTTGTCCAACAATTGCACAAAAAATATCCAAAAACGAATACACAAACACAGAGACTCAAAATGCCGGAGCAGTTTCCAAGCCAGACCGAGGCTCTACTGAGGCCTTTCCACGGAGCTAGCTCTGCGGTCACGTGTGTCTAATGCTCAATAATTATACAGAATTTTAGGCTTTTAACACACTTAAACAGAAGAGTGAGAAAAAAAAATCACACCCCCCCCCCCCAGGGTTGTCATGAGTGTAAACTAGATAATTTAGACAAAAAACATGTTTTGGTTCCAGGCTGTAAACATGTTTATTTCTGCTGTGAAATTGGTATTTTTAACATGGGAGTCAATGAGGATTTGCTCGCTTCTGACACCAGCCCCCAGCGGATGAGGGTGGAACTGAAATTTTTGGTACTTCCGGGTTTGATTCAATTTCAGAGCTGCATTGTGGGGGCTTGGTATGCACCAAACTACAGTTCAGACTACCCACCCTGCCGCTCAGTGGGAATGGGAGAAGAGCGTGTGTGTGTGTGTGTGTGTGTGTGTGTGTGTGTGTGTGTGTGTGTGTGTGTGTGTGTGTGTGTGTGTGTGTGTGTGTGCGTGCACGCCTGTTCTCTGCATCGGAGCTCTTGCCCCGGCGAGCAGACACCTGTTCAGGGTAGAAAGCAGTGTGTGGCACAAGATTATGAGGACACACATGGCAAATAATAAAATAACGTGGTTCATGAAAAGCAACACAGCTCATGCCCGTCTTTGTTTACCTTATTATGGCACTCTTTTACCTTATTATGGTTTATCTTCTCCTGGCACTCACAGAGCACAGTCGCTTCTGCTTTGCTCACTTATCTTTTTTTCCCAAGGCTCTTTTTGTCCTGCCTGCCTACAGAGCGCTTCTCTGCATTTCCTCTGGAAATCGCTATTTTTCAGAAATGGATTTAATTAATTGGTCATTTAACGCGATTGATAAGATTTTTTCTACGATGAGAACGGAGGAGGGGGCTCCCCCTTGCCCTCATGGGACACACGCAGCGGGATATATGCTCGATTCCTGGAAGGAGTGGAAGGTCATCTGTCTCACTCAGCTGTCCATTGAGGAGTCTTGTTATCCTAATCTGATGCCAATGCAGCCTTGAAGCTGCAAAAAATCATCCCCCACGAAGGAAGGAATGCAGACAGATGCTGTGGAACCCGTCCTACCCCCCACCTTCAGATTGTGGACTTCACAGCGAGGCCATCAACCTGCAGGAATGTGCTCTATGTTCCTCCCAAGATCTCTCTCCCTCCTGTGGACACAGCTGGCTGAGCACCGTACATGGCTGCTGGCCCTGGAAAAACAGGATCCCAGCCCCCCCTCCAGTGGCGGTTCTACATCGAATTACTCCCCGGGCGAGGCCCCCTTTGAGCGCCCCCCCCCAACCGCCCCCCCCCCCCCCACCACCACCACCACCACCACACCACCCCACCTGCATGAACACACGCATGTCTTCTACAAACAGGCATGTTTTATTAGAACGACTATTGAACATTCATTTTTCTAAGTTGCACATATTTACATTAATTACTATGAAGTTGTCAGAATGTAAAGCACTATACATTATATACTGTATCAAAATATATAGAATCAAATATACAAAAACAAACAATAACTAAATATTAAGAATATATGAACATAATCGATAATAAATATTCTAAATAGCAAAAATATTTCACACGTAACAAACTAAAGATAATCACTACAGCATTGCACTTAGAACAGAAAACACAAACTAAAATTAAAACCTAACCTTGATGCAACGTCATCAATAATATCATCATATGAAATCTGCTCCCCTACTGAGTGATTGATACTAATCAGAGCCAGGTTAGTGAGCCGCCCCTGAAACATAGGTGACCTCAGGTATGACTTGATCAAGTTTTGAAAAGCTCCTCTCAGCTTGAGCCACAGTGACTGGCAGAGCAGTACAAAAGTTGGGGTAGATCTCCAATAGATCTCATGATCCATAATATTTTAGAATTGCCTCTGAAATTGTAATTTAAACTGACATAAAAAACTGTAGACTACCAAAAATGCCAACTTTTACAGAACAAATCATGTAAAAATAATCAGTGCAGCCATCTGCAATAAATAAACAGGATAGTTAGTGGTGACTGGGGAGTTTTCTTCTGCTTGTAGAGTTGTTTTATTATTATTATGTGAACATGATCAACATGTGTTTGTTGTTGTTCAGGCAGGCCACGGGCTGCAGTGAGCATTTAACAAATCCTATAGTTTGAATCAGTAAAAAACGATTCAAGGAATTTTTTCAAACCATTTGAATATTCGTTTCAATTTTTCAGCCCTATTAGCTCTGTTAGCAATTAGCTGACCGAATTTAACTGTTAAAATCCCAGTTAACTGGTTCAAAAAATTGAAAACATGCATCAAGAGAGCGACATACCTTTATCTTTCTGCTCTTTTTTCTTTTTTTCCCCCTGAATGGGGGCACCTGGTGGTTTTAGCCTTTTTATGTTCATCTCTTCTGTTTGGCTCCTGACTCAGTAAGTTTCCTTTAGTCAGGACTAAACAATTTGACCTTGATGGGGGGGTGACCACAAAATCGTTTTGTTTTTCCTTTTTTTATTCGGCCATTTCACACAATTCAGAGAAACCTGAAAGAATGATAGGCCTGTGTTTATGATATTATGAATGAAATATTGAAGAATGTTAAGATGTGATTGACTTTAGCCATGTTGATACAGTTGATTCAGCCCCTGCACGCTCATTTCATTTGGGAAAGACGCAGAGGTGAATTCCCCCGCCGCACCCCTCCCCTTCCTGTTCTTCATAGACACACGGAGCACGTAAACGTTCTCAGTCAGCAGGAGCGCCTGCAGCTGCAGGGGGCGCCAACTTGCTGTTTCCAATCCAGACACTGTCATATGACAGATAATAGAAAACCTCGGTGCGGCGCAGATTTCCTTTTTTTTTTTTTTTTTTACTCCGCGCTTGTGCGCCCCTTTTGTGTCATGAAAAAATGCCGCCCCGGGCAACTGCCCTGTCTGCCCGTGCCTAAAACCGCTACTGCCCCCCTCCAACGGAGTCTCATGTTGTGAATGTTGAAGTTCGTGCTTATATGTTTGAGGTGTATTTTTGCATAGTACAGCTACACCCTGTCGGGAGTAACTCTGGTATGCCTTTTTTTCCCTCCCCCAACCTATCCTCATGTAATTCCTTTTCATCTATTAAGGTAGCGCAACTCATGTTGCGAATGACCGCAGTCACCAATTCTTGTCATGTGTCTTGCCCATGTATGTCTGATCTCTGAATTGTGTGTACTGAAACTCAATTTCGTTTATCTGTATGTCTTGCACATGTGGTAGAAATGACAATAAATGACTTTGACTTTGACTTGACTATGGAGGACACCGCAGACTTTCCTGCGCGTATTAAACACCGCCCACAGGCTCGGGAATTTCCGCTTTCCTGAGAAGTTCCTCGGATTTATATGTGAACACTACACCGCCCGTTCGAGACCAAACTCACGCCATCCAGCCCGACCAAACCCTGACCGTGCTGACGCTAATGTGTAAGCGCCGATAGTGTCAAGGACGAGGAGTTTTAAGTATCTCGGGGTCTTGTTTACGAGTGAGGGAAAGCTGGAGCGTGAGATCGATGGGCAGATTGGTGCTGCATCTGCAGTGATGCAGACATTGCACCGGTCAGTCGTGGTGAAAAGAGAGCTGAGCCAGAAGGTGAAGCTCTCAATTTACTGGTTGATCTACATTCCTGACCTCACCAAGCTTTGGGTAGTGACAAAAAGAACAAGATTGCGGATAATAGCAGCCGAAATGAGTTTTCTCCACAGTGTGTCTGGGCACTCCCTTAGAGATGTGATGAGAAGCTCAATGTTCCAGGAGAGGCTCAGAGTAGATCTGCTGCTCCTCCACATCAAGAGGATGAAGTTGAGGTGGCTCAGGTATCTGATTAGGATGCCTCCCTGATATGATTTTCCAGGCACGTCCAACTGGGAGGAGACCTAAAGGGAGACCCAGGACACAATTGCGGGACTATGTCTCTCGCCTGGCTAGGGAGCACCTTGGGGTTCCCCCAGAAGAATGATAAATGTCCCGCACTTGTATCGCACCTCTCAGAGTAAGGACTCCAAAGCGCTTTACACTATAGTGTATCATTCATCCATTCACACACACATTCACACACTGATGGTGATGAGCTACGACGTAGCTACAGCTGCCCTGGGGAGCACAGACAGAGGTGAGGCTGCGGAGCACAGGCACCACCGGTCCCTCCGACCACCACCAGCAGGCAAGGTGGGTTGTCTTGCCCAAGGACACAACAGCGGAATTCTCTGTCCAGAGCCGGGATCGAACCCGCAACCTTCTGATTACTGGATAACCCGCTCAACCTGTTGAGCTACTGCTATCCCAAAGAACTGTCCCAAGTGACTGGGGAGAGGGAAGTCTGGGCTTTTCGACTTAGGCTGTTGCCCCCACAACCCGACTCCGGACAAGCGGAAGAGAATGGATGGATGGAAGGACGGACGGATTTACACTTATTTTAAATAAACTACAATAATAATGAGGAAATTTTAAAGTTTAAATTTTAGATCACCATTGATACTAATGTTTTATTGAGGACAGAATTTTTGGAAAATTCATGTTTTATTGCTGTTAACAGTTTTATTTTCTTTCTGAAGTTTTACTGTACAACATAGGTGAGGTCAGTCAGAAACATGTGTTACTTTATCATGTTTCAGATGGAAAGAACTCTTGATTTTTACCACAAACAACAGGGGACAAAATGGATTTTTGTAAAAACTTTAATCACTTTGTGACTTTGTTCCTCTTGGTGTCAGTTTCTTGAGATTTGTCAGATGAAAAATGAATGAAATCTGCTTTTTTAAATGTCACATTAATACAAATGTTCTTTTATTTAGCCTGTCCAGAACTCCCACCGCATCATGTCTGGGAAAAGGAGGAGATTCTGACTGACCAGCACCTCAGTAACCAGGAAATGACCTTCAGTTTGGACCACGAGGAACCAGAATATCCACGGTTGAAAGAGGAACAGCAGGAACTCTGTATCAGTCGTCAAGAAGAACAGATCGCTCTGAAGCAGGAAAATGTTACCTTCATGGTGAATTCTGCCTCTGAAGAAACAGACTGCTGTAAATCAGAACCAAACAGTAACCAACCCGTTTGTCAGATTTCTCCTGAAGCTGAGAACCAAGATTTATATAAGAATAAAAACTCAGAAACAGACAGACATGAAGAATCGAAGCAAAATAACATATGTAAACAAACCAAAGGGCACGGAGAAAGTTTTGACAATCGTAAGAAGCCATTTTTATGTAAAATATGTGGAAAATCTTTCAGTCACAATTGTTTTTTTATTCATCACATGAGAACACACACAGGTGAGAAGCCATTTCCATGTGTAACTTGTGGTAAACGTTTCTCTCAGAAGAGTAACTTGACAAAGCACATGAGAACTCACACATTTGAGAAACCCTTTGTGTGTGAAACTTGTGGTAAAAGATTCTCTCAGAGTTGTCACTTGACTCTTCACAAGAGAACTCACACACTCGAAAAGCCCTTTGCATGTGAAATTTGTGGTAAACTTTTCTCTCGGAGTGACCGCTTGACTGATCACATGAGAACTCACACAGGGGAGAAGCCTTTTCCATGTGTGATCTGTGGAAGGAGATTCAGAAAGTCATCAGCTTTACGTCTTCATATAAGAATTCACACTTGACAATGTATTTATAAAAATGTTTTGCTACCAATATTTTGATAATGGTGTCATTTCTAGAGTCCCAGTCACACTCAAGTCCTCAGTGTTTCTGAGTCCAAGTCACTAGGTCCTACAGGCCAAATCTTGAGTACAACGTCCAATTTTAACTCCCTTTTTATGTAGAAAATGAAGATATATTACTACTGCAGGAATTAGCAGGTAACCTATGCTAATACTAGCTTGTTATATTAGGTCAGATTACTGGACCAATATAACCACATTTTCCCAAAGCATTTGTAAATGTACGGGTGACATGCTGTTGTTTTCAAATTCATGTTATATTATTTTGCCATATGCATTAGCTGGGGGGCATTAAGCTGCTTGTCTTCTTGTCTGCTTGCATACTGGCCTCAGCAGGCCCGAACAGTCTCGTGCCTTGCCAATGGTGTTCTTTTGGTCTGGTGGGCGGGATGACCATCGACATATAAATATTGGACAATGGGTTTCCATAGACTCCAATAATACGTTTTTGGGCTAAAATGGGAGGTGGCCACCACCGCCATTTTGACAGTGTCACAGGTTCCGTCAAGCCCAGACAATTCCACAAAAGGGAAGAGAGGTGGAGCTGAGGATGGGGCTGTAAGGCTGGGATCAACTGACAACACCCGGTTGAACTAGCTACAAGCTAACCTGAAGCTAACCCAAAGCTAACGCAGAGGTGGGAGCTAAGCTAATGGAGGTAGCACCCTAGCTACAACCGGAGTTAACTGTGCACAATACCAGAGCTTCTGAGTCAGAGTAACGCTGGGCTGACCGCTGGGTAAAACCGGGTGGAACACAGAGGTCTCCCGAAAGCTGCTGAAAGCCGGCAGCCCGCGCAGGAGACAGAAGCCGCGATCAGAGATGCGCCAAGCTGCGGGGAGGGGAGAACCACAAACCGGCCGGCAGCCCGCGCAGCAGACCGAAGCCGCGATCAGACAGATGCGCCGAGCTGCGGGGAGGGGAGAAACGGGTGGAAAACATCGGTCTCCCGAGAGCTCCACAAGCCGATAGTCGGAACCCAGCTCCACCAACATGTTATATTTCAACCCATTTTCTAAAGTGCAGCATTATGTTAAATGCACTGGGTTTTACTCTATTACATTTAAATTTCATGGTTAAACAGTACACATTGAAATCTAAGCTCAGCTCGGCAGTGACCTAAAATACATAAATATAATTTTTAGGGCTGGGACTTGATTAAAAATTTTAATCTAATTAATTACAGGCTTTGTAATTAATTAATCTAAATTAATCACATTTTAATTGTTCAGGGAAATGTGCTCTCAAAGTATAACTTTTCATTAAAATTATGAGACAAAGAATCAAACATTAGACATGGTTATTACTGTAAACTAAAGCTTTTAATAAAAAAATGCATTTTAATTATTCAAATGTCACTGTGTGATATGAAACAAAACCCAAATCAACTAAAAATTATAATTACAAATAGAAAACACCTGCAAATGGTTCCTGAGCCTTTAAATAGTCTCTCTGTCTAGTTGAATGACTGAAATAAATTTTACATGGCACCAAATTCTAATTTTTCCTGTTTCACTTGTTTGTATGATTGGGAGTTTTTATTAGCATTTCTTCTCATAATGTAGTAAAAACACATAAATAATAATCCTTCAAAATGACAGTAGAACAGGCACAAATATGATCTAGGACTTAAATGTACTAACTTTTAACACCAGAGCAGGCGTGGCATATTCTGAGAATGATCAGGAACACTAACTGGTTCCAGCTGGATGACTGGAGGTTGATGGGAAGATAAAAGATCATGGCGAGGAAATAATGATGTGACAAACAGGTGAGCGGACCTTCCTTACATGGGAAGTCCTGACGTCAAGAAGGGGATGCTGCAGACCCGCAGATTCACACCTGCATCAGCGAATCTGGTGTGATCTCCAGCCTGATCACAACTTTCTCATTCCTCGCTGCCCCTGATACACATCCGCCCCTTAGCTGATGACAGCTTCAACACACCTCGCAGCTTAATGATAGGAATGCATGTGATGTTTAGACAGTGACTCGTCTCAGAAACATATAATTCCCCTACAGAATTGTTTAGAAAATCATCAGAAAAGTTTCAGAGTGTTTCTGTTTTAACTTAAACTTCTGTTTTCAACTTTAAGACACGTTGTTTGTGATTGTTTACAGAGTAGTGAGAACACGGAGCGTTCTCCCAGCGGCAGCCAGGTGCCTCTCTTTTGTCGGACTACTTTCATAAACTACTGTTAGGGCAAATAATTATTCTGTCTGGTGCTTTCAGCGCTCCAACTTTTGTAAAGTTACCGGTGCCACTGGGCAGCCGCAGCAGTATCGATCTCTGAAAAATGTCCACGACACGGACTCCGTTGTTGTCTGGAAGTTTTTTTTTTTCCAAGTTAAGAGGCGGACGGGTTTCCTAAATCCTGCATCAGTCCAAGCAAGGCAACTTCTTTCTGTTTTTATTCCGTTTTAGTAGCCATTAGCACTGTGCATTGTTGTGTGCGTCAGTGATATTCAGTTTACGAGGAAATCGTGCAATGACAAAGGTTCTGCCGTGCTTGAAATGCAAGCTACGATTAAATGCGTTAATTTTTTTAACACATTATTTTTTTCTAATTAATTAATCGTAATTAATGCGTTAAAGTCCCGGCCCTAATAATTTTACTTACCAAAAAAAAAAAAGAAGTCGAGACTCCTTGGACGCTCTATTAGTGCAATTAATGCCACAGCAAGTAATTTTGTCCAACAATTGCACAAAAAATATCCAAACAAGAATACACAAACACAGAGACTCAAAATGCCGGAGCAGTTTCCAAGCCAGACCGAGGCTCTACTGAGGCCTTTCCACGGAGCTAGCTCTGTGGTCACGTGGAATTATACAGAATTTTAGGCTTTTAATACACTTAAACAGAAGAGTGAGAAATAAATTCACCCCCCTCAGAGTTATCATGAGTGTAAACTAGATAATTTAAACCAAAAACATATTTTGGTACCAGGCTGTAAACATGTTTATTTCTGCTGTGAAATTGGTATTTTTAACATGGGAGTCAATGAGGATTTGCTCGCTTCTGACACCAGCCCCCAGCGGATGAGGGTGGAACTGCAATTTTTGGTACTTCCGGGTTGGGCTCAATTTTTGAGCTGCATTGTGGGAGCTTGTGGATGACGCGACGCAGCAGAACAACTAACATACCGTTAGTTTGATATAAAAAATTTTATTTTAAAGCATACCTCAATTTTCTTGTGACATTGGGATCTCTTGAGTCCAACTAGACGGACCGTGGCTGAGCTGCTTGGTGCCTGGTCCATTCCTGGTGTGAATTGACATGCTGTGGAGCATGCGAGTAAATTGCACAGCTTCTGTAAAATACTTTTGATGTACTTGGTGTTAGTTGGGGTAAGCATTGTTTTCAATAAACTGCATTCTCAGAAAATGTTTTGTCATTTTTTTTCATGTTGAAACTATTTAAAACCTTGTTAAGAAAAAATATATATATACACACACGCACACACACACACACACACACATATGAATATACTTCAATGGATAGAGAGACTATTACAGATGTAGGAGCCATAATTACATATATTTTCTGGGTGAACTGAGTTTCTATTTTATTTTTTTATGTTGTCAAGGTGATGTGCAACAGAGGTCAAGTTGGTGCAGGCGGCCACAATCAAAAGAAGCTGTTCTTCGGGGTTAGGTTTATGCAATATATCGTACAACGCTGTAGTTTTTTAGTTGTAGTCAAAGATGGCATCTGGTGACTGTGCAACCATCTTTCTTTAGAACAAAGGCTTTTAGCACTTCTTCTTGCTATGGTTTTAAAGACAAGTCCAAGTTGTTTAGAACAGAGGAAAGAGCCACAGCGAACTCTGCTTCAGACACCATCTTCTTTGTTTATAGGGAGCCTAAGTCTCCTCCCTTTCCGGTCGGCTCATGGGTCCCCAGAAGAACAAAAAAATGAATGCAAGTCAACGGGGCTAAAAACACTATTTTCTAATCCACTTTGCCTTACACACATCACACATATGTTATATTTCTATTTAAATTTAAAGTAATGATGTGTGTCTTGACTACGTCTGTCACACACTTTGAGATTTATCAGCTTGTAAAAGTTTGTAATTAGTGTGGCAGAGTGGATTGCTTCACCTGCTGCCATTTCCCTTGATTAGATAGATAGATAGATAGATAGATAGATAGATAGATAGATAGATAGATAGATAGATAGATAGATAGATAGATAGATAGATAGATAGATAGATAGATAGATAGATAGATAGATAGATAGATAGATAGATAGATAGATAGATAGATAGATAGATAGATAGATAAACTTTATTGTCCACCTCGAATTGAGGCAGAAATTTGCCTTTGACATGGCTCACCTTACAATACAATCCATGTCGCATTCACACAAATACATAAAAAGACAATTAAAAGTTATTGGAATGTTATCATCGTAAAAACTTTAAGAATTCAAAATTGTAATTGCGGTGGGAACAAACGATTTCTTATAGACTCCTTTCTTGGCCAATGGAACCCTGATCCCCCTTCCTGATGGAAATAACTGAAAATGTGGGTTCAGTGGATGGGTTGAGTGCACTGATCAGGGTAGCCGTCCTGTGCACTGCTCGCTCGTGAAGAACAGAAAGTGGGATCTGAGGTGAACCTGTAATTTTGCTGCTTAATTTAACAATGCGAGAGAGTTGTGTTTTCTTTTTAACTGTAAAAAAGTTATACCAAGCTGTAATATTGAAAGTTAGAATGGATTCAATCAGTGATTTATACACAATTGTTGTTAGGGGTCAGCCAGTCCGGGCCCTGGTGGCCTCCTTTAAAAGGCTCACCAGCGCAGGTGTGACTAGGTTGCTGATTGCTGCCCCTTCACCAGATATGTGTTGTGTTTGTCAGAAATGTACACTATGACTTATCAGGTTGCTGATGGCTGCCCCTCCACCAGACAAAGAGGGTGGAGGAGTTTGGGGCTTTCCTATCTGCCCTCAGGTGGAGCGATGTTGTACTGTGTGTGGTTTGGAGCCAAGGTACAAAGAACGATGGTGGGCGCTGTACCTGGCTAAAGCTCCGGGAGTTGACGTCACTTCTCCCGGCATGCAGCAGTTCAAATCGAAACAGCGCCATATTGGCAGGCAGAAGCCCGCAGTTGGACTATTTGTTATTGTCAGAAAACTCAATCAAATGGGAAATATGGTAGATTCCTGTTGTGCCCCAGGATGCAGAACAGACACAGACGACATAAGGAATGAGCCATCTACAGGATTCCCCAAGATCCGGAGCGCCGCAAACGTTGGATCATTGTAATAAAACGCGCTAGTGACCGGGCTAAAATGAAACTGTGGGATCCCGAGAGTAAAGGTTTTCGTTTATGCAGCGACCACTTCATATCAGGTACTTAAACCAACGTTTCCTCAACTGTGTATGGTAGTTATTTTAAATGCTTTTATTACGATTCTTAGTGGGCTTCCTAAACTTATTTTGGCGTGGCTTTTTCTGTCTTATTACTCATAGTAACAAGTAAACGTCACGTAAAACGTTGCCTCGTGAGTTCTGCGTGCTGCCGTTTACGTGTTTTATATCACAGCAATTAACTGGCTAAGCTGTATTTAATTTTAAGCAATGGTTGATCAGTTGTCAGATCACACATAAAAAACACTTTGGATTGCTATTATCTGTCTCACTGAGAAAGATCTCAGTCTCCTGCCTGACATATTTATTTTATTCGCAGAAAAAAATCAAACTAGTGATTTCTCTTGGCGTTCAGTTTATACATTCAAACAGCACAGCACTCTATTTAAACTACTTATATGTAAATCTATGTTATTTGTCCATCCATCCATCCATTTTCATCCGCTTATCCGGAGTCGGGTTGCGGGGGCAGTAGCATCGAGGGACCCAGACTTCCCTCTCCCCAGCCACTTGGGCCAGCTCCTCCGGGGGAATCCCAAGGCGTTCCCCGGCCAGGTCCGATAAGAAGTCCGCTCCGACAGCTTCTGGCATTTTTAAAAAGTATCCCAGGGGCACGGTAAGGGTCGGAGATGTCTATTTAATTTCAGACTATATAAAACGATTTCTTCAGTTTTAAAGTGTGAAGTAAACTCCGACGAAGTAAAATCCAAGCCGAACCCGTTAATTTTGTTTACATTTGTTGCCTGCCAACATGGCGTCTACTCTCTGAGGGTCATGTGACATCCGGAGCTCTATAGCCCAGATGGACACTAAATGGACGAATGCATACATTTCTGTCTGGCCTGGAGCAAGGACCACAGAGCAGCCAGCGGAGTTTCATACAAGCCCCTGGGTCAACGGAGCCACAGCGATGGCGTGGGAGCATCTGGAGGAGTATCCATCAATCTGGAATACTTTGGGGGGTAGAAAATGTCACTTTGGGCTTTTAAAGATTTTTCATGTTTTAAATTTTTGTTTTATTGCATCTGAGGTTCCCAGTGAATGTGGCGATCCCACTGCGGTAGTGGCATCTTGTGTGTGTGTGTGTGTGTGTGTGTGTGTGTGTGTGTGTGTGTGTGTGTGTGTGTGTGTGTGTGTGTGTGTGTGTGTGTGTGTGTGTGAAAAAGTGGGCATGCAAAGAGGCATAGAGCAATACATTTTACCATACATTCAGTTGATTGAGTCAATGGTCAAGAATTAATAAACATAGAATTTTTCCATAACTGTGGAGCCCCTCTGATGACATGGTCCAAAAAATAAATAAATTGTGGCCACGAAATACTATTTTGAGGGCACGAAATAGCTATAACGTGCCCACGAAATACTTATTTGTGGCTTATAGCTATTTCGTGGCCTCAAAATAGTATTCCGTGGCCACAATTTATTTATTTTTTGGACCATGTCATCAGAGGGGCTCCGTACATAACAGCAACTGCACTGAAAATAAATTTAGGATTGTTCTTATTCTCCTCAATTGGCAATGACAAATAAGCAGTTTTGCTTATTTTTACAAAGCACGAGGCTATATTTTCAAGTAGGAATCCTCCCAGTGTGTAGAGCGCCATGTTCACTCCAATTTTCTAAAGTTCTGTTTTAAAGTTTGTAGACCAAGATTAAACCAGGGAGCCAACTTCCTTAATTACCTTCTTTTTAAAGGGGCAGCATAATCTAATGCTACACTATGAACTAGACCATCAATTAGTGAAGGACTAGAAATGAAAATATTGTCCTCTGCTACGTTCCTCTGAGATGCTGAAGACAGTAAATATGGAACAGCGTTGTCAGATAGAGATCGACTATAGTGAAATTTACTTTCATGTTCAGAGAACTCAGCTAAAATGAACACAGAAGTTATCAGAAAGTGGTCTGAGAGGACTGGATTATGTGATAATATTGTTATTTCCTCACACTCTATGCCATAAGCCAGCACAAGGTCTAATGTATGATGGCAGGAGTGGGTGGAGTTATGTATTTTTTAAGTAAAATCAATTGATTAAAGGCCACATTGAGGATATCACTTTCAGTGTCAGCATGAATGTTGCAATCCCCCACCCCACTACAATGACCTTATCAGTATTTAGCACCAAATCAGATAAAAAAAATCAGAGATCTGATCCAAAAACTCAGAGTAAGGGCCTGGTGGATGATGCAAAACTACAAACAAGAATGGTTTTACCGTTTTACAATCTGGATTAGGAAAACTAAGAGTGAAATGTTTGAAAGAATTGTAACCATTAATTGGTAAAGGATTGATTAATATGTCTGAATGAAAAATGGTTGCTACTCCTCCTCCTCGCCTTGTACTTTGAGCAATATGATGATGTCAATAATTAGAGTCGACTCATTTAAACTAACATAGTCCTGTTGCTGCAGCCAGGATTCTGTGAGAGAGAGCAAAGAGATCTGATTATCACAAATCAAGTATTTAACTAACAAAGTCTTAGAAAAGATAGACCTAATGACCCACATTTATTTGTTCTAGTAAGTTGCATTCATTTTTTTGTTCTTCCAGGGACCCATGTACTGGAAGTAGATGGGCGTGACTTAGGATCCCTATACTTTTTTTAAACATAAATCCAAATGTTCCACCCACATATTAGAATTTATAATATATTTAATCAGGAGTTTAAATCTGAACGCCAGCTCCCACTCCTCACCACGTGGTGGCGGTAATGCGTCAGTCCATGACGAGGAGCAACCAAAGAAATGAAAACGAACGAAGCTTGATTTATTTTCAGCAGGTTGTTTACCTTCTTACCACGTTACATCGTTATGTTTTCTTTATACTTACCTTCTCATTAATCGTTGTTTTGATGTAGCTTATATTAGCTGTGCATCGTCACTTTCCGTCATTTTAGATTTCTAGATCCGTTTACAACGTTCTGCGTGTGCAATGTGTTGTTGTTTTTGGCTAATGTAGCAACAAGCTAACACGAGTTTCTTTTGAATGACATAACGATGAATTATCGCACAGCTGATAGTTTAGCTGGCTTTCAGTGGCGACCGTAAACGAATCACTTTATTGTCTTTTGTAGTGTCACCATGTCGAAAAGAAAAGTCACGTTTGAAGACGGGGTCGGGGAGTTTGACCTGGAAGACGAGGGTCCAAATAAGAAGGTGATGCATTTAAGGTTATAAAGAAAGAGTTGAGTGTGGAGGTGTCAGTGGTTAGTAGGAAGCCCTAAGTCCAGGGCCGTTGACTTGTCTTAAATAGTTTTGGATTAATACTAATTTATTGGTAAAACCCGGAAGGCAGTTGTCTAACATTCTGATATAAAACTAACAAAGAAACTTAAATACTTGGTATTATAATTGCTTCCGTGAACCAAGTTAATCTCTTACACTTTTAGCATGTTTACCTATAAAAGTCTTATCGTTTACTCAAGCTGATGCTTACATTGCATTGCTGTGTGTGTGTGTGTGGCCTACCACAAGAGCTGTAGATCATCTTCTATACTGCTGCAGTCGAATCCATACTTTGCTCATCCATCACTGTCTGGTTTGTGTCAGCCACAAAAATGGACAAATGCAGACTACAGTGTATTATTAAAACAGCAGGAAAAATAATTGGTGCCCAGCTGCCCTCTGTCCAGGAACTGTACATCAGCAGGACCAGGAAAAAGGCAGTGAATATTGTCCAAGATGCCACACATCTTGCATCTACTCTCTTCCATCTCCTCCCATCTGGCAGACGCTATAGATCACTGTACACAAAAACTACCAGACACAAGAACAGTTTCTTTCCTTCAGCCATTTCTCTCCTGAATCTGTAGATTCTTTTACCATCCTTTTATTATAGTTTTTTATACTTATTCAGTATGCTTATGGATATGAGTGAGTGTGTGTGTATACATGTGTGTGTGTGTGTGTGTGTATATATATATATATATGTATATATATATGTGTGTGTGTGTGTGTGTATATATATATATATATATATATATATATGTATGTGTGTGTGTGTGTGTGTGTGTGTGTGTGTGTGTGTATGTATATATATAAAAATATACGTGTGTGTGTATACATGTTCTTATGTGTTTTTTATGTATTTTTATTCTCATTTATTGTAGTTGTTGTATGTTTTAGAGAGCGAACATCTACCGAAGCTAAATTCCTTGTAAATGTAATTTTACTTGGCCAATAAATCTGAAATCTGATCTGATTCTGTGCTGTGGTTACTAGCCTGGTTACAGATTAATGTTTCTGCTGTTTTTTACACATAAACGTGTCAGATCAGCTAAACAAAAACATGTTAAAAATAACCCGAGTTAATACAAAATTCAATTTTCAAACAACAGAATTAGCTTTTGGGCCTTGGCCTTTTGCTATGACACTTGTTTACCCCCCAACTGGAGGGCACTTGGGCTGAAAAAGGCTCTTCAATGCAACCTGGCCCTATGAGCAAAACATGATTGACTCCTGATTAAAACAACTGCAATCAAGCTTTTGTGATCATGGGTGATGAATTGTTTTGATGCAGTGGAGTGGAGCTGTTCAGGCGTTCTTCAGAAATTTCCGGTAGTGAGCAGAATTTTGCTTGTACGATTTTTTTCACAGCTCTTAAGTAAGATTACTTTTAATCAAATTTATGATGAGCACCCCCCCGGATAATCCTAAACCCTCCAACTCGAAGGCTCCAAGTATGACCTAATTTAACCTATTTTGTCCTACATCATTTTACATTCAGTGTTGCAGCAAGTAGACTCGCACAAGGCCTCTGCACAGAAAATAAATATTAAAATAAAAGTAAAATATCAGTATTAAAATGAGATATACAATTACAACAATATACAATCAAAACATGAAGTGAGTCGGATAACAGTTCAGTCTTACAGGACTATGCTTTAGCATATTTCTGACTCAAACGTGCCAAATCCCATACAGCAGCTGAATGCACCATTTAAACAAGTTGAATCAGATCTCTGTACTATTTTAGACTTTTTGCTGCTGGCATGTCTTATAAAGACTTTATTGAAACAGTTTAGTAGCAACAAGAATGGTAACTAACAATCTTCCATTTCAGTTTTCCACAATTCTCAGAATATTGTACATTTCCTATTTATTCTGAGTGGTTTGCCTTTTGAACTAAAGACTCTTTATTTTTTTAACCACTCATATCTTTGAGTTTTCTAGTTTTCTATCACTTTCAGCAAATTGTTTAACCAGTGACACATTAATGCCTTTGTTTTTTACAGCAAAAGTAGTAATAGTGGTACTTGTGCCGCAGCACTGACCCATGGGTTTAGGGGTTTGTCTTCAGACACAATGCATTTTTACTTCTGCTTTCTTCTTTAATGCAAAGATCAGAACTTTGCTTTTGACTCTACGTTTACTGGTTATACTGCTATTTTGTATTTAGTTCATCATTTTCTTTTGCTGTAATTGCAGAGCTGTGAGGCTGTCAGTGGACCAGGCTCCAGGTTTAAGGGTAAACACTCCCTTGACAGTGACGAAGAGGATGATGGAGAGGACACAAACAACAGCAAATACAATATTCTTGACAATGATGATGTGGAGGGTATGTCTTGTTAAGTATTTCCATTATACTTTTGAAGTTGTAAACTGGGTCCAGTTTTCCTTAGGCTGTGTGAAACAATGTTTTTTGTTAAATGCTTTTTGTGGTGAATTGGGGTGGTGCCACCTTTGTTTCCAGGCCAAGAAGGAGCGACTATTGACTTTGACGAAGGAGTTTCTATTACACCTTTCAACCTGGAAGAGGAGATGCAGGAAGGCCACTTTGATTCAGAGGGAAACTATTTCATCAAAAAGGAAACACAAATTAGAGACAACTGGCTCGACAACATAGACTGGGTAATTGCATTCTCAGACAAATGATTATTTAATGGAAGCTCTGCATTTTGCAGTAAGTGAAGTATCTGTTTTCTTGCAGGTGAAAATAAAAGAGCAGCCTATTAAGAAAAAGAAAGGTCTTGCAGCCAAACGGAAACGCAGAGTCGGTGATGAAGATGAGGCAGAGGAAGAGAAACGAAGGGAAGAACAGCAGGCAAACCAGGAGGATGAAGAGGAGGAGGAGATGCCTGCAGAGGACCCGTTGGCTGCCTACACTCAACAGCAGCTTGTTGAAGCTGTTGTTGAACTGCTGCAGCCTGGAGAAACGGTCGCCGCGGCGCTCCGTCGGTTAGGAGGCCTTGGAGGGCGCAAGAAGGGAAAGCTGAGAGAAGAAAACCTGTCCACAGAGGAAGCTTCAAGAGACACGGAAAAGCTGGATAGGCTCACAGCTTTAGCTGACAGGCTGGTTGGATCTGGGATGTTTGAAATCTATCAGCAGAGCTATGAAAAACTGGCCTACGTGATGAAAAGCATGACCAGCAAGAAGCCAGCAGTGAGGCAGACGAAAAGTGACGATGAGGAAGAAGATGAGCTTGACATGTTTGGTGATAAGTTTGATGAGAAGATTGGTGAGAAAGAAGAGGATGACAACCAAGGTTCTTTCCTTCATGCTTATAAATGATTAAGTTCAGAAGAAGGTTACTTACCTCGATTCCCCTTTTTCTTCTCAGTGAGTGATGAAGTGATGTGGGAATACAAATGGGAAAATGAGGAAAAATCTGAGGTCTATGGGCCATTCACCAGCCAGCAGATGCAGGTATTACTACTATTTTAGCTCTGACGTGTTAAATGCCCAACTTCCAAACTGATGTGGATTAAGAGGGTTTTCCTTTTTATTACGAATGTAGATTCTTGTGTGTCTGGGAGGAATTCAGAACACTTACCGGGCCTTTCCACCTGACCCATTAGCATCACATAACGTCTGCAAAGCACCCTGCAACGTCCGCGAAGTGTAGTACACAGCAAATAGCCGCCGTCACAGTGGGTGCGTTTCCACCGACTGCTTAGCGCCAACGTTTTTGAGGCATTCCAGAAGCGTAGTGACGCGTTGCTCCGTTAAATTTATGCTTCCATTCTTATTTTTGTTAGCACTGTGCTTTCGTGCTGTGCTTTCATGACATGTCAGTCTCAGCCATTCAGATCAGGACAAACACAGGAGCACTGGGAAACATCTGGACACTTTAAAAATAATAAAAGACACGTGCCGATTTCCAGTTGCTTGTTTAAAATAGTTGTGATGCCTCTGTAGCCGAGGTAAACCCAACACAAAACAAACCACAGGTCTTTTTCAGACAAATGCTGCCGTCTTTCCCCTTCATTGTTACTGCGTGAACTTCCAGTTCTCTGGTGATTTCGTGATCTCGTGGGTTCAGCTGTTGGTGATGTTTTTGCCGCTGTTTCATTTCTGAAACGCTCCCAGTAGGAAGGGACAAGCGACTGAGATTGGAGGTCAAATGCTTCTATTACGTTACGCGACGCTTATGCATTCAGTGGAAATTAGGGGTAGTAGTCTGATTTTAATTTTTTATTTTTTCTTGTACATTTATATTTTAAAAGAAAACATAAGTATAACACCTCATACATTTAAATGCAATGTTTTAAACATGTATTTTATTTATTTCCCTCCTCAAAATACCAATAATTCCATCATTTAATCTAAATAATTGAATTGTTGACTGGTTGTCTCATTAACCCCAGTCTGACCTAGTGGGCTTTTATTTTCTTACTGCTGTGTTTTCAGGGCTGGGTGGATGAAGGCTATTTTAGCAGCGGCGTCTACTGCAGGAGGGTGGATCAGGACGGATCTCAGTTCTACAACTCCAGAAGAATAGACTTTGACCTCTTCACATGAATTATGTACACCATCAGATGAAAAACAGCCCTCTTGAATTTTGTCACCACTCATGTTTTACTTGGATTTTCTCTGTTTATACACCAGGGTTTGGAGGAGAATTGGTCCATTCATTTTAGCCCTGCCTTTGTTTTCTGCAGATAGTTTTTAAATAAAAGGCTTGTGTGCATCATTGCTGAAATTCTATTCTTTCTTTTTCTGAAGCAAGGACACAGCTTGTAAATGCTGATTATTCATATACACTGCAGTTTTACATTTTATTGTTGCCCTTAATAACGTGTTTACATTTAAAGTTAGAAAACATGAGCACATGGAAATCAGGGCAATGTAAGTTATTTTCTGTCGGAATAATTTTATTACAGTATTTAGGCAGAGTTGGAAAATGCCTAATAACCAAAATAAACCATTCCCCAGTAAATATGCACATTCATTTCGTAATGTGAATTTAAATTCATCCTTAGATGGTTTTAAGCTTGATCTTTATGCTTTTTTAAGTTATCAGAGAGGCGATATGAAAGGAATAGTGTCCGCTTTATCAACATTGCGTTTTAAATGTGTTAAACCGTTTCCTGAATGTGTGTCAAGTTATTTAAAAAACTCGCTTATGACGCTAGATATACAAGAATTCGTGAATTTTTCCGATGCTCCTATTGGCTGGCCTCAACCAGCGACCCTGACAGACGCAACATGATTGGTCAGCTTTCAAAGAGGCGTTTCGAGCGGAAACCAACCCTGAACTGTGATTGGCTGGGCTGATTGTTAGATTTGTAAAAACGGATACATTTTCTACTCGCAGTAGGGCGCCGTCTTTTCGTCATGTTTTGTTTACGGCGGGTTTGGCTTTCACCCCCACGGTCCAGTTACAGCTTTTAGGTGAGTTTATCTAATGGTTTTTATTTGCTGTCAACGTGTTCATGTAAGCTACATAACGAGAATATTCCCACAAATCCCGTAAGCACCAAAGAACGTGTAGAGAAATGACAGTTGTGGGCTACGACTATTAACTGGAACAGAAACTGCCACACTGTGTGTCCCTGTCGGCTATACAGCCATGGAGAGCTGACGGAGTTCGGATGAAAGTCAGCTACGACAACATTTGGGACAGTTTTAACGGTTAGGTTTTTGTCTGTTGTTGTTTTTTTGTCGGCGGCTCACAATAAAGGTAAATAAAAAAAATTTCTCCAGTAAGTAGACTACGCTCAGTTTTGATCCGACAGCATCTGAAAACCTCGCAGCAAATAGCTGCTATGCATTTCATTTAGATGTAACATTATAAGGTGATTATTGAGTGTTTCCCGTGGCTTGGTGAAGGTTGTAGGATTTCGGCTGAACAACTTGGCGCTAACACGGTGCAGCCTAGAGAGGGGGTCTAATATGTGCCACTTTGGAGGAAGGACTGCAGTTGTTAAAATCACAAAAGCTTATTTTCTTGGCTAAGTTTTAACACGATGACTGTCTCCCTTAACACTGACTGCGCATTGTTCTGTTGAAATCCATATGAATGATTTTGTCCTCAATACTGTTGATTAAAATCTTAACTGTAATCTAGTTGAAGTTGCCACTAATTCTCCCTTTGAGTTTGCTTCCAGTTAAAAAAATCTAAAGTATAATTTCTCAGCAAACATTCTGAAAATCTGGTTACTTTTTTATCTGAATCAGGTCTTGGTCTTATAGTATTTTAGTAAGTTAAGACAAAACTGTATGCACAACCAGTTGTCCTATTTTTTTCCTGTGTGTGTATGTTTCAGATGAATATGGATGAAGATGTAATTCCCCCAAACCCTGTCTGTCATTCACCTCCCCTCAGTGATTCTCCATCACTTCTACCCCATTCCTCCGTCACCTTCAGGTACAGTTGTTGTTGCACCTTTTTGTTCATTTTGTTTTCCCCTCTTCAAAATGATCATGGGTCTATGTTTATGACGTTTCACCTTCAACTCCAATGCTAGTTTGCAGATCAGTATTTTAGTTGGCAGAGAAAATGTACTTGATGAAGGTAAGACTTTAGCTTTTACATAAGTTAAGAGACATCAGGTAGATGTCAGTATTCATACTGATATTAGATTATCTTTCCTTTTAAAGGTGCGGATCACTGAAAAAGCATTTTTAATGATCGTTCCTGATTATAATCGCTCACTCTGAGTTTGTCGTGCAGAGTGAACGTGAAAATAGTCTCCTACATCTATCTTTCATTAGCTTCTGACAGAAAATAGATGGTAAAATACTACAATTAGGAAAACCTGACAGATCTACATCTCACTGTCACTTAACTTACATGGGCTCGCCCATCTTGACTCGTGATTAAAAGCCTGTTTATTTAGCGTCCAGAAAACAGCAGAGAACTTCTCGGCTAGTAAAAGCTAACCATTTGCATTAGCAACTCCACACAGCAGAACTCCTCCAAACTTGTTTTATTTGTGGAGATAAAACATCAATGTTGCAGAGCAAATAGAGTCAGTGGTAGAGTCATGTTGCTGTTAGCCAATCAGAGGTGAGCTGGCCAAATATCAGGAAATAAGACTCCAAATCTAGTCATCTGAAGCTCAGCTCTATTTGGCTTTCTGCTAGTTCCTGAAATGGGTGCACCAGCACTTTGTTTCCCCCAGAGAACGACTTGCAAGGCATTCAATCTTACTAGAGATCACTACAAATGTATTGATTAAACAAGTGAACTACATCCTTAATAAGTTGAACATATTTGCAAGGGTGAGCAAGTGAAAATTTACAGTAGTTTTCACCTCACAGTTAGCTGTAATGTGTATTTTTGTACACATTTATTGTTCTTTTTTGTACTTTTAAAATGTTTTCTGCACACAAACCTTTTTGTCTTTTATTATTTGACACCAGCGCAAATGCACTATCACTCATCCCCTCTGCTTACTCTGCGTTTTCGCTTGAGACAAATGCCAGATACCGGCAGATTTTACTCATTGTGTGTTTCTTTTTCAATCATTTGTAGGTCTGCAAATTATGGAAAATCTGGACGCCGGAAGAGTGGCCGCATTCAAGAGATCAAAGCTCAGACAAAACAGGGTTATTCACACAGCACAGCAGCCCAAAATTCATCCAGACAGAATCCGTCCCGAACAAAGAGGCACATGGAGGGTGAAATCATGGTATGAAGTAAAAGCTGGTTGTGTTCAAAAGTTGATCCGTAGTAAAGTGAAACCCTCTTAATTGATTTTCTGTTGATTGCTTCATAGGTGCAGGTGTCACAGTCTAAGCTGCCAAAAGTTGAAAGAACTCATGTACAGGAGGAGCCAAACAAGGTCAGCTTTGTTTCCAACAGTTTTGCTTTCCTGATGGGATTTCTTTGTGAAAGCACGAGATTCCAGGGTTTCCCTTACATAGGCGTAGCCGTGGCGGCCCGCCACGGCTGAAATCCCACCGCCACGCCTACAAGATCCCAAGTTTTTTTTTTTTTTTTTTTTTTGCGCTGTTTTCCGAAGAAGCAGCGGGAAATACTTGTCGCTTGTGATCACAGCTGGCGGCAGCAAGAAGGAGCAGGCAGGGCAGGGTGAAGTAACCGCATAAGTTACTGAGTTTAAAATTAGAAAGGTAGCAGTGGATATAATGCCTTTTGGTTTACATGTTTCAATAGCATTAAGATAAACGAGTGTTGACGATCTTGACAGGGTTTCCTCCAGTGCTTATTAGGCCAGGTTCTCCTCACCAGGCTAAGCATCACTTATTCATGTAAAATTTATTTATTTTTTCATGTCTGACTTTAACTGCATCTAATACTGTATTACGGCGTGAGCGCAACAGCGACAACTTAAGGTTGATGTGTGAGCAGCCTGAGAGGTCGGGTGTTTCATCTGAACCCTTAAAACCTCCAGCAGGCTACGCTGCACTATTGACGTGTTAGCACGCGGCGCTAACAACTTAGCGACGTGACATGTCTCGGAGAAAGCGTAAAAACACGTTGGACGCTTCTTCTGAAGTGGGAAAATAACACCTCTTCTTAAGCAGAGCACGACGTCGCCTCGGCTTGTTCACGGCCGAGCCGGACTGAGCTTGATAACATTGACCCAGCACAGCCACTGGGTCGTTGGATCTGCCCCGTGACTGCCTGATGGAAAACCAACGGGTTTCATCAGACTCGTAAAGTTTCTTGTTTTTGCTGGGGACCCCCTGTATTTTACCGCTCCCTCCTGCAGTCTTCCCCTATTAACATTTAAAATGATTCTGTAAATTCCGTGTTATCAATAGAAACAATCTCTGCCTCTGCCAGCTGCAGTAAATGTAATCTCTAAATAATAAATAGGAGGTGCATTCATCTGTGTGTCTCCTTTGATCCGCATTAGTGATGTTTTCAGCACCAGAACAGTGAAGCAACAGATTCCTGAGTTTGTTAGTAATTTTATTTATTAGATGCATCTAACCTGTTCTATTTTTCTCTGAAATGAGACCAAATCAGTGCTTCTATGGGTCGGCTCCTCGCTGCACTAGAAAATTTTACTTTGTTTAGAGACGTGTCATAATCCCCCCCACCCCGCGTTGCCGCCGGCCTCACAGCCACAGCTGGAAAAATTCCTAGGGGAAACACTGGATTCAGATGCAAACGCCTTTAGTATTCTTCTGCAGTGCACAGGTCCTAATTTGCATGTGCAGACGCTGTACTGTAGTTTTGTTTAGCCGAGGTGTTGTGGTTAATTGAGTGATTTAATCCTCTTTTACGGTCTGCTGACTCTGACATAAACAAGCAGTTGTCTTGTCTGACCTACTAATAACAGACTGCAGGTGCTACAGAATGAAAAGTATTTTTGTTAACAACTTTTATTGGTTGGGGAATTTCCTCATTTCAGGCAAATTTTTAAAAGTGTTTCTGCTGAATGTTGATTTCATTAGGGGTTTTTTTTCCCCTCGGCAAGAAGTGGACATTTGTGAAACAGACATCAAGCAAATTAATTAGCTTTTTTTTTCTATTTTTAAATAAAATGTAAAGGTGTGTTATATATTTTTGTAGAACATTTTTGCTTTATTTCTTGAAAAGATCAAATCCTGATGGGAAAAACAGTAAAAAAATTTTAATCAAAGAAATTAAATTATTTTTAATCAGCGCTTGAATGTACCAAAACTATATTTGGGTTGGACCTTTATAATTGTTGTTTTTTTTTTTTTCTAAATTCAGCTAGCTTGAATGGTTTTTTAACTTTTCTTGTGTTCTTTAAGACAGTGTTTCCCAACCCTGGTCCTCCCTGTTTTCCATGTCGCCCTTTTAAACACCAGTGTTTCTCTGCTGCCACACACCTGACTTAAATGCATGAGTGAATAACAGGCATCTGCAGCACTTGATGTCCTCCCAAGGAGCCAATGTAAATCAGGTTTTCTGAAGCAGAGACATGGAAAACATGCCCTGAGGACCAGGGTTGGGAAACACTGCTTTAAGAATCTGGCTTTGATTTAAATATAAAGAAATGAACAACAGTAAATCTTTGTGTTTTGCAGAATGAATCGGAAAATTGCCTAACAGCAGAGTGCCAAAATAAGTAAGTGTGATGCTACTAGTAAATGCATATTCAATATTTAGTAGGGATGATCCGATCGTGTGAAAAACGGAAATTAGGGATGCACCGATCAGGTTTTTTGCTGCCGATCACCGATACCGATATCAAAGAATGCTGATCACCGATACTGATCACCGATACCGATCACGTGGATTGGCCAGAAATTTTCTACAACATTATGAGTGCTACAAACTACATAACCTGGGAATAAAGGAAATGTAACCTAATCTAAAATGGTCTAGGGTTGTCACGGTGTGAAAATTTAACCTCACGGTTATTGTGACCAAAATTACCACGGTTTTCGGTATTATCGCTGTATTTTTTTTAAACTTGCTACATTTTCACACAATTAAATAAACCCTGTATATCAGGAAATATTGTCCTCAGTTTGTGTCTAAATTTTGCCTAAAATGTGTTATTTTGTAATTATGTTGTTTATTTGTTTACATTTTTTCCCTTTAGTCTTTAAAATAACAATATTTGCCCATAACTTCTTATTTTGTCTGTTTGATGTCATCATTTTAAAAATCTTAGATCAGATGATACTCAGTACTCAAGTAGCGTTCTAATCAGATACTTTTTTACCCTTACTTGAGTAATAAACCCTATATCAGGAAAATATTGTCCTCGGTTTGTGTCCTTTCAGTGAGCTTTGCAGATGTGGGAAAATGTCATCAGGCAGTAATCATTGTTAAATTCATAATTATTCTCGGAGAGAGACCAACTCTTATCTGCCCCTGGGAGTCCCGTAATTCATAGCGTCATTTCAACATGGGGGTGTCCGCGACACGGTTTATATGCAGGTAGCGGCGCTGCGGCTGCTTTATATAGCGACTCGTTGCATTCTCCCTCAACCCAAATCCTCGGATCACGCATTTTAGCTAAAACGCTAACGTTAACTTGCCTTGCGTTGACTGCAGAGTTGTGGGTGATGGTCACGCAGATGTGTCATGAGATTTGAAGCGTTGCTGCCTTTCACAGACACTTTTTCTGCACATGCTGCAAACAGGATAGCCGTCTTCTATCAACTGTCCCTCGGCATTCTTCAGATATCCAAAAGATGCCCGTACTTCCCACTTTTTCTTCTTTGAGGGATAAAAAATGTCCTCCTGAGCACTGCCGTCTCCTCCTTTGGCCATTATTTCAGCTTTAGCTTCAAGAAAGTTTTGGTTGTAAACAACAAAGCGTGCATGTGCCGCCGGCAACTTCAGCAGATGATACGGTGGCTGGTAAGGGTCACCGCGCCTACACCGCAGCCACGGTAAACCCACCGAGATAATATAGTTTTTTTTTTTTTGAACAAGACGGTTATTATTGTTGTCAACCTTTTTTTTACCGGGGTTTACCACTACACCGGTTACCGTGACAACCCTACGTCTGCTTTGATCTATTTTGAAAACTCCGATCAAAACCGATAGGGGCGCTATCGGCCGATTGGGATCAAATGCCGATCCATCGGTGCATCCCTAACGGAAATCAAGCCCGACCACATGATTTTCAAAAGATTGGAATCGGGTGAGAAAGATTGAATTTAACCTTATAAAACAACAAATGTGACTTTTTAAAATGATCTTGAGAAAGATATTTTCAAATGGAACAACAGAAGCTTAGTTTTAATCTCAACAAGCTCCTTTATCAGTTTTCTTGGTTTCTTAGAAGAAACGAACACCAGTACATGCGGCTGTTGGCTAGTACGCTAACACAGAGCTACTGTGTCTCCACTGGAGAGTTAAAATGTCTGTATTTTGGTGCTATTTTAAACTGGACAGCAAAGGCAGTGTAACAGCCACTTCTAATGTGTGCGTACTGGGCATCAGCATGGTGGAAAAGACAGAACTGCATGAAACGCAGTAAGGTTGGGCGATGGGATGAATTATTCGACCATTGTAGTGATGTGTCGGTCGCGAACGAACCGGCTCTAAGAGCCGCCTCTTTGAAGTGAACGACGGGAGCCGGCTCATCATTGGGAGCCGTCCCCTCCCCCCCTGCTTTGGTGAAAGCTACAGGCGATTGGTCAACTGTGTGTCCAGACTGTCCACACACAGAGCAGTAGGGGCGGGGAAGAGGGAGGATCAGACTCAGACAGACACACAGCAGAGCACATGCGGGTGGAGGGAGACGAGAGGGAATGAGGAGGAGGAAAAAGGCGAGCGAGAGGGAGGAGAGTGCGACAAAGACGGTGAGAAAATGAGCGCCAGCAGTCGGAAAGTGTTCAGTTATTAAATCCATAGAAATGATAAACATTTTATATATTGCTTTTTTTTACATTAGTAAATTATTTTACATATGTTTAGCATTATTTTGTTTATAAATGCACTCTACGCAACAGAAAATCTGAGGAGCCACTTGGGAGCCGAAAGAGCCGGCTCTTTTTGGTGAGCTGAGCCAAAAGAACCGGCTCTCCAAAAAGAGCCGGAATTCCCATCACTAGACCATTGGTGATAGGCTGAGCCGTTACAGTTGTTTTTTTGTTTTTTTTTTACAAGAGGCGATTTGTTTATTTATTTAAGTCAGTTAATTACAGATATACACGTTACGCACAGAGAACATCGCAGGGGCAACAAACAAGAATAGATCTCCATCAGCACATCAGAGCATTATCTCCCACTTTCTCCTCAACTCGCTGCTGACAGCACACGCATGCAGCCTTAAAAATGACAAATAATCAAATACAGTTTCCAAAGGTCTTAAATTACCAAAGACCCAATAAACAAGGTTCTTTTATTTCTATAAAATTTTCGTGAATTTCTAGTTGGGGTTCAGCATTTTTTGCGTATGATATTGGAAGCAGAACCGTACACATTCAGTTGGTTGTGAAAGGGGGCTATTTTTAGATAAGCACGTTAGCTGGTTAAGCTAGTGGGAGCTTGCACCATGGGGAAGTGGAAGTTTAATCGTAACTGGATGGCTAATCCCATGATCGCGGCGTGGTTAGCGCCGGTTCCAGGCAATAGCTGGAAATTATAGCTTAAATTTAATTTTTAAAAATGATAAATGACCCGCACTTGTATAGCGCCTGTCAGAGTAAAGACTCCAAAGCGCTTTACACTACAGTGTATCATTCATCCATTCACACACCGATGGTGATGAGCTACGATGTAGCCACAGCTGCCTTGGGGCACACTGACCGAGGCGAGGCTGCCGAGCACAGGCGCCACCGGTCCCTCCGACCACCACCAGCAGGCAACGTGGGTTAAGTGTCTTGCCCAAGGACACAACAGCAGAATTCTCTGTACGGAGCCGGGATCGAACCTGCAACCTTCAGATTTCTGGACAACCAGCTCAACCTGTTGTGTAGCTTAAATTTGGTCAAAGTGGCCTTAAAAAAAGGTCTTAAAAAGTCTTAAATTTGGCTCCCTTAAACCTGCAGAGACCCTGATTAAAGAGGAGCTGGGAGAGCGTATGTGGCACATTTGACATTGCACAGTGTTGAGTAGAAAGTGGAAACGCTTCCATCTTTCAGAGAGTCTGGTAGACTTCTGGTTATTTCATTTGAAGAAATGTTTCCAGATTTGAAAACTTTGGCTTAAGTAGCGCTTGTTTTTCAGCACCTGCTTCAAGTGTGTCTGCGCTGCGCAGACTCATCCAAATCAAATCAAACTTTATTTATATAGCACAATTCATACAATAAATGCAACTCAAAGTGCTTTACAAATTCAATCCAGAACAACATTTAAACAGCTACGAGTCTGTCTGAGGCAAAAGTCCAGAACCTCCTAACGTCTTCAGCAAGCTCCCTAGAGACCTTTGACTACACACAAGCTGCAGGTGACCAGCTAATTTAGGTGAAATAGTTTAATTACATTGTTTATATGTTACTGGGACACTCTGCTCAGCTTGTTTGAACTAAATAATAATTAAGAATAAATGCAAATTTAGCAGTATTGCACTGATTTATTTTTAAAATTAAAGTGGCAGGGAATAGGGCTGGGAATAAATAGAAAATTTATCGTTATCAAAATTTCGGATTCTCATCGAGATATTTTTTCCCATGTCACTAAATTTGATAATAAACATTTATGTCATTTATGAAGCTGTACCAATATGAACATCTGACAGCCCCATCTAGTGGACAGCTTTTGTGTCTGCGCATACATGTAGTTATCGTCCATTTATCGGTATTGAAGTGAAGTCCTCAATACATTGTGATATTGATTTTAGGCCATATCGCCCAGCCCTAGCAGGGATAAATGGATCATGTGACCTTTGGATGCGAGCAAATGCTGCTTCCCCAGAGAGCGTGCAAATGCAGCAGCGATTCATTTTCTACACCTAAAAGAAAGAAACCCAGTAGTCTGTTCAGAACAAAATACGTTTTGCTTAAATAAAATACCACAATGGCGGGTGCTGCAGCAAAACACTTTAACAGTGTTTACTACAAGCTGTTTATGCGTCACTCTACCAAACAACAAATACAAAATTAAACAAAAAGAAAAATCTAAATTTCTCCTCCAGCAAACATGCACTTAGCTTCTATTAAAGAAAAAATCTGTATTTGGACTTGTGTTAGCAAATCAGTCCGTGCATCATGACTTTGCTCAGAGAGTCACATGCACGAATACATCGCCCATCCTCATTTATTGGACTGATGATTGGCTGTGGGAAAAATTATACAAATCACCCAACGCTAATGCGAATCCTTCAAAATGAACTAGTTTGGCTTTTGGCTTTTTTCCCTTCAGGTGTCAACACAGTGAATCATCGGTCGGCATTAAGTCTCAGTTCATAGCGGCATCTCTAACAAAAACACAGCACCCGCCAACAGGAAAGGATATGTTAATAAACAGAGAAATTGCCGACAGACAGCAAAACGTTGTGGCTTCTCATTCTGCGGTACCTGAGCTGACTCCGCCGGTTGCTACAGGTGTTGTGCAGAGAAAAGTAGGCCTGCTGGCCATGGCTCCGCATGCCTCCCCCATCACAGGAACGCACATCACTGAGTCGCATAATGAGGAGGTGAACAATTAGAAATATGAGCAACTCCACTACTTTAAAATATATTCATAATACTCACACTTTTTTATCAATGTACTTTCAAGTGACATTTTTGGTAGATAAACAAAAGAAATGACACAAATATAGAAATGAATGCCAATAATAATAATAATAAAAAAGGAAAACTTAGATGTTTTTTTCCCTCTTTTTTTTTTCTTATTATTATGATGCTTTGCTGAAGTATTGAATCAGGGCTCGGTATCAGCAGGTACTCAAAATCCGATAACTCGGGCTTGGATCGGGAGCATAAAACGTGATCGGAATATTGCTAGTATTTAGTTAATTGGCAAGGGTTACTATGGTGTTTTAATCAACTTAACATTTTAAAATAAACTAACAGCTGTTTTCTAATAGGCCACTGTATTTGAAGTCTGTGTATGTATTTGCTATATAATATTAGTTTGTGTTCCTTTTGTACGTCACTGTAACCTTTCCTTTTTTGTCTTTGTTGTTTTAGTCCAAACGACCCCAAAAATCCACAAAGTATGGATGTTTCTCCCAGTCAAGATGTCATCAGATCGACTGAAGAAGAGACCATGCAGAATCTCGATGCAGATGAAGCCGACATGGACACAAGATGGGAATTCACCAGTTGTAACAATACTGAGAACGCGTCTTTCTCAAAAGGATGGGTCATCGGCCCTTTGTTTCAGTCACTCAAGTCCAAGATGGCCAGTTTCACTGAGATAGTTATGTCTCCCGTTAAACTGTTTAGGGCCAATAGTCCTCTCCCATTCTCGGATAATTTGGACCAACTTGGTCACTGTGAGGAGCAAGTTGATGGAGAAACTGATGTAGAGCCCTCAGACCCAGACTTTATGTTTCCTCCACAAGGACAAAGTAATGATAAGAATGAGGGAAATGGAACTAATCAACAAAGCCTGAGTGACATTAGAGAAACACAAAGTGTTCCCAGGGATGAGTTTTCAGCATGCAGGTCTGAGCAGACTGAATGTGTGATTAATTGGAAGGAAAACATCTTACCTGATTCAGTGCCTTTGCTACAGAGTTCTTTAGCCTGTGTTGTTTCAGAGTCTTTTGAGTCCTCCACCCTGTTGCTGCCTTCGGACAAAGTAAGTGCCTCACAACAGTCCAACATCAGAAGATCCAGTGATGTGGAGGAGCAGAAAGATGAGCTGAACATCTATCTGAAACCAGTGTCACTACAAGTTGCGAGGTTTAGATCTGAATTGGAGAACTCTGAAGACAAAACTCAAGAATCTAACTCAAACGTCAACGACGAGCAGCTTTCTCATCTGAGCTGGTTCACGTCAAACACTCATCCTAGAGTCATGATCAACAATCAGCCGGACAGAGAGAGTCTTCAGCGTGATGGGGACGATGACACTGGTAATGTAGGAAGCTACCACCTCGGTCATCAAGGTCTCCAGAACAATCTGATTGATCATGAAAATGTAGCATCAGTGAAGCCTTCATTTGATACACAGCAGATGGAGGTCAAGCTAAACTCAAATGTGCGAGCAAAGAGGGGCCTCCGATTGAACTGTCCTTCCCAAGATTCCAAGAGGAAAAGAGTAACGGATGTTTCACTCGCAGAAAGTCAACAGCTATCAAACACGGCTCCAGAAAGTGACGTAAAGAAAGGGTTGATAGCACCAAGAACAGAAGCGGTGATGAACACTATTTCAGTGGAGGATAAAACATTAAAGCCTGGTAACAAATTACAGGTGACATTGACGAGAGTGCACAGAAAAGGAAAATTTGGAATGAAGTCCGCTGAGTTGAGCCAGAGTCGAGAGGCAAAACAGTGTACCAACAACCTTATTTCAGTTACCAAAAGTAACTCTCAAAGTGGCAAAGCGAAAACCTCAAAGAGTTCTGGAAGTTGTAAAGCAACACTTTTAAAAGATAACTCCCAGCTTGTTCAGACACATTCTCCAATTAATTTAGACTGTTATGTTTCATTAAAGAGGAGCGCCATGGCAGAAGAGATGTTTTTCACTGACTTTGGACCTAAAACCTGTAGTTCTAGGTCTAGACATGCTAACGGTAAGCAGGAAAAAGCAGATGGCCTCAGAAGAAGACGCAGTTCTAGGCAGCTAAGCAGCAAGGTGAGCAGAAGGCACCAAAGTGAAGAAAGGTCCGAATCGGTTGCAGTGCTGGACAACAGTCTGGCTGTGTTGTGCTCTCCAGAAGCCAAATTTTCGAGGCACCTGCTACGCAGCCACTCATGCCCAGACATCCCATCCGTCCAACAGCACGACTCACCCTGCACAGTGTCTCCACATTCACCACATCACAGCAGTATTCACGCATCACACCAACACAATCATCCTGTCTCACACTCTCACAAATCCCAGAGGCGGGCACGGCGCCACACAGTCTGCAGCGTTGAGGTGGAGAGGGACATTGCCCCCCTTTGTCTTCGGAAGGAGGTGTACCCATCCAGAAGATCTGCCCCGTATGACCCCACAACTCAGCACCTGTCTCCTAGTCATGCACATTGCCCCAGCCCTTCGCTCTCAGCACTCGCCTCTTGCTTCCTATCAAGTCCTCTGGCTTTTCTTTCCAAGAGGACAACCTACAGGGGAGCTGCTGCCGGCTCTACATCTCCCCATGGTCCGTCTCCCCCCTCAGCCTCCTTGTCATCCCCATCAAACTCCTCTGTATGGCATCCTCCAGTTCTCAAATCCAGAGCAGAGTCCGCTGTGATCTCAGACTGTCAAAGCAGGTGATGCACTTTTAAATCTGTTGCCAATGGTTTTATACTGATATCTGTGTTATAATGGCTGATTCCAACTGTGTTTTGTTTTTAGCGAGAACCCCTTGCAATGTGAGGCAGAAAGGATACAACAGAGTGAAGATGAGGATTATGGCGAGGATGCAAGCTCTTCTAGTCCTGAGTTTGAAGATGCTGGGTTGAGAGATGAAAAGGCTCTGTCTGACTCTGAGATTAAAGTATGCAAACAATTAACTAAATTCTTCCCATTTTGGACAGAAAATTTAACTTGATAATCACAGAAATTTTAAGCATCTGTTTCTGTTAGTGTGTCGTATGAATTGTTGCTATTGTCACTTCAGTAGGTGCCTTTAGAAATTTATTCCAGTGTGAAAATGCTCCATCTGTGTTGGTTCAGTGCTGATTCAGGGCAGGAAGCCACATAGAAGTAGGGCTTTAAAACCTCTGACAATCAAATTTGTGTGCATGTTAAGTTTGTTGGAGAAAATCTGCATAATTAACAAGTCTTATAAGGTTCCTTGTTCTTTGTCAAAGGTTGTGAAGAAACATGAGGAAAGAGGAAAGGTGTCTTCCATCAAAATTCGTAAAAGCATACCCAAACCTCAGACCAACCTCACACCCATGGGTCTGCCCAAACGCATCAGGTTTGTACTTCTACACTTCAGTAAATGTTGTCAGGGTCACCAACAGAGACCATGTCTCAGTTAAAGAGACGGTGTGTAGTTTTTACCATTAATTTCTGGAAACATTCATCAAAATATCATTGAAGATTATTTAAATGATGCCCAGTTGTTGAAAAATATTGGAGGCTTTGTAACATGTAACCATAAGAATCTGGTCTAAAATACATGGGAGTGGGTCTAAGGGTGTTTCTCAATGCCAAGGAACCTCGCCTTGATGTCTTGGCCCTGCCCCGGTTGCCTAGGAGATACGTCATCAGGAACCGCCAAGACGGGTTCCAATGTTCATGTTCTACTGAGGCGTGTGTTCTCCGTTTGTTAGCCGTTTAGCTAGCTGAGCAAGGATACATGGGAGGTGTCTTGTAGCCTAGCCTTGGTCAAAAATTTCCCAGAATACATCGCTGTATTTTCAAAAGGATGAAGGATCAGAAGCCGGCAGATATTTCAGGGGAAAATTTCAAGTTTGAAAGTAAGTCAGCAAATTTAAATTGTTTATTTATTTATTTATTTTTAGATCCAAAGAAGTTATCTATGGTTGGTTAGTTGTTTAGTAGTTGCAGCTTCAGTGACTAGCGGGTAGTAACTCGCTTACATAATGTATACACAGTTTAAAAAGTAAAAGGCTCGTTATATATTTAAATTAGAAACTTATACGTATAACGTTATGTCCCGTGTCACGGCCGTGGAAGCCGCAATCATGTGATGCAAGTATGTTCCATTTAACCGTTTTCTTTGACCAAGGAAGGACAGTGTCCTTGTAAGCAAGGCGCCTGTCGTCACGAGACATCGCTTCGCAAGGCCAGGCGCCTTGACATTGAGAAACACCCCAAGTCTCTGGGTGACGCCATATTAGATGCCATGTTTCCTTCTACAGAAAATTAATTTACTGATTTGTAACAAATGGTTACAAAGCATTCGTCATTATTAATTGTTTTTGTTTTACATATTTAGGTACATGATTTAGGTATGTACTGCCGTCTATTGCCAGGAAAAATACACACTGTCACTTTAACTAAGTCGATTATTACTTGGTCTCCAAACCAAGGAAGACGGGATGAGACCTGGAATAGAAATATACAAAACAACATATCCGTGTAAAACTTTGCTTATCTTATTTGGATACAATAAAGCAAAAGTACTCGCTATAGTGTAGCACACTTGCTCGCTTTAGTTTGAAGCGCTTGCAGAAACTAAAAATGTCCATCTTTAAGTCAGAGTGGATGTGACTCTGAAATGGACGTATTTAGGCTCATCAGCGCAGGCGGGGCAAGCAGATTAACTCTAAATCTAACTAATGTGGGGCCTAACACCAAAAGTTTCTGACAAATTGTTATCTTCAAGTGGACAGTGTATAAAATACAAATGATTTTTCTTGTATAATTAGATTCTTTTTAATTACATTTTGTGGTGAATAGAGCCATCTACTTCACTAATAAACCCACTTCATAAACTTCAGCATCATTGATAAAATCTAGCTATATACAGCACATAAAGTTCTCCAGAGAACAGACAAAAATGTAAGTTTTAGTCCAGAAATCAAACAAACCAACAAATCCAAACAATTAACTTTTGACAGTTAATTAACAGTATGGGACTCTTTTATTGTTTAGGATTTAAAGAGATTTTCACATCCAGTTTCTCCAAAATTGTAATTAGTTTACTTTGTTGTTGAGACAGTAAAAATAAAAATGCATTTCAATGTGAAAATATAATATTTTTGGCTGCGAGTTCTCTGAACTTGAATAATTTGGACAATGGGCAAAAAACATGGATGCTACGGCTTTAAAATGTTCTCATTCAATGAAATGTTTACTGCTGAAGACTTGTTATTCAGGTGTGTATGGCAGTGATGGGTTCCTGCACATGAAAGACTTGGTGTTTATTTAGTCGAGCTGAAAAGAGGCTCCAGGTAAAATGCAGGTTCTTATCAAAAATGACTCGGTGTTTGAACGATTCTTTGAGTATTAATACATGAACTGTGTCTAATGAGTAGTTTTCTAGCCAGTTTTAAGACTTACAGCAGCGTTCTTCTACTTTGCTATTTCAGGTTGAAAAAGAAGGAGTTCAGTTTGGAAGAAATTTACACCAATAAAAATTTCAGCAAACCCCCAGAAAGGTACGTTCCACATGAACACATCTTCAGTGTTTAGTATCTATTCAAAAACACGTTTGAGTCCTGAACATGAATACGGTGCTGTGGGGCGGATTAAATGCTCGTCTCATCTTGATGCCAGTGTAGTTTCCTTTTAGGGTTAGGTTCAAGCTGTTGGCCCGTTTGACAACGCATCCTACACGATGGGGCATTGGTTCTTTTACCCGACCAGAGCTCTCTCCCTCTGTTGCCTTCCGTTTCTTTGAAAAATAGTTGAGCAGGCTCGTCTGAAATTGCAACCAGTGGTTAATACAATGTGCTAACCAGTGTTGACTTCATTACCCTACGGTAGTGCAATGGCCAATTACTTAGACATACATAGAATCGTAAGCACGGCTCAGCTATACCTTAATGCCTTTTGAAACGTGTAAATCAAAAAGCAATTCATCTGCTGCTACCTTTCTTTGAACAACACTCCGATGCGCTGCTGTAAATAACTGCTACATTTGTATGCCCCCCTTCCCCGCTGCCTGCATGCTGTGTCCACATGCAGCAATGGAGTTGTTCTCGCTGCTCCTTTGGGAAGCAGTGCGTGTTCAATTGATGTATTAACGGTGTTGCTGTTAAATAAATATCTGAATTTTGTAGGCGTGGTGCTGGAATTTCATCCGTGGCGTAAAGCCACTGCGGTGACTCTGCTTTAATTGCCCCACTACAGTTTGGTCTTCGGGCATAAAACATTGCTCTATTTATAACATCATGCTGTGCTTCTGGGTTACAGAATCACACGAGTGTTGCTTTAAAATAACTCATGACCTACTCTGTGAGCATGTGCCGCTACTGGCTGTACAGTGTCATACACACTCTGCTGGTATCAGTGTTTTCAAGCTTCATCAAATTTGAAGAAATATCTGGAGTGGCAGCTTGGCTGGCATCATTTCATTTTTTTAGAAAAAAATATTTTGTTTAAATGTTTGGAGAAATGAAGTGTTGGCAGAAATGGCTAAATATGTGGCACGTGTCATGTTTGGGTTTGCGTATTTGACCCATGACGTGAACAATTTGTCTCGACACAATATAAAATACAAAAAAAGACGTTTATCTAGAACAGAAGGAGCGCCACCAACGTGGGGCGATTTCTGGAGAGACTCGGGCTCGAGCGATTCTGCGGAGACGGAGCACAGTCAGCAGCCTGTTTTGTGAGGGAAACTTGCTGAGTTGGATGAGACTTACGGCTGGGTGAAGGAGCAAGGGGTTCAGGGGGAGCTGAGGTGGAGGTCCAGGGTCCGGGCAGGTGAGTGGATGGCAGGCGTGGACTCCAAATGGTTCCAAAGAGATTAGGGAGGAGTGGTGGCGTTGGTCGTAGTCAGGAACTGGAAACCTGGGGATGAGAGTTTGTTAGGGGCGGGGCTCGAAAAGGTTTGGAAGTTAACAGGGCTCGAAAGACAGCTAGTGTCACTCCGTTGGGTAGTACCCAAAGTGAGTAACCATCCGGCATCGTGTAGTCGTCTGCCAGCTCCTTAAATAGGCCGATTGGAAGTGGCAGCCGCTGGGCCCGCTCTGCCACACCGCCCACCTGTAATCAGGCACTCCAGGATCGTTACTATGGGAAACACTCGCCTCAGACCGTGACAGTGGCTGTTAATCAAAAGGATTGTGTTACACTGAGAGTGGTTTGATGTCACTTATACATCACAAGGGTACTTGTATACTAGTAATACACACTATCTGTGTTCAATATGCAAAAGGGAAATAAACCATTTACAGGTTAATTTTAAGGAGTGAAATTACATTTGTTAGTACTCGTATTGGTACTCTGTTTCAGCAAGTACTGAAATATAAGTACTGAAATATAAGTACTTATGCGTGTACTAATATTCGGTTTGATACTGGCATACGTGCATGACTGGTCTTCATTGTTTCTGTACATTAGAAATGGTAAGAAGACGGTGTAACCAGAGGGTGGCAGCAGAATAATATAGTCAAACGTTTCTCTCTCTGTAAAGAAAATTGAACGTGTTGTCTTCCCATTCATCAGTCTAATGTACTAGTTCAAGGACCGGATTTACTGATAGAAACTTCCATTCATTTCAGCCGGCTGGAAACCATATTCGAGGTGCCTCTCAACCGCAAGAACGGCTCTGAGTCCTGCTTTGGCCCGAGACGTGTCAAACGTTTTTTGGAGTTCTTGGAGGTTGGTGAGATAAGAAAACCAAAGAAACCTCTCGTTGGAGTTGGAAAAGCAGGTGTTCCGTCCTCCAGGACACGACGCGGAGGCTTTCCTAAAGACAATCCGTCCCTCAGCGTTCAGGATGTGGACTCGCTTCTCTGTGCGAAGCTGGATGAGTTGAATTTGTGGTTGAAGGATAATCAGAAAGATAGCTGATGGGAGCCTTCATGCAAATGTGTCAGAATAATTAAAATACAGGAAACTGTTTATGAAAAATGCCCTCTCTCTTTTCCCTGCCGACTCAGTGTGTACATATTGTGGTGATACACCTTGATTTTCTTGTGTATTCTGCAAGTTGAAAAATAGCATGTTCCTGCATAATGCAATGTTGCCTCATACAAGCTGTTTAGTACATAGTGGTGAAGATGAATACAATTATAATAAGTCATCTTTTAATGTGTAAGTAGAGAAAACACTCTGCTGCCCTTTTGACCTCTTAGACTCTTGGTGTCTGATTAAGGAAGCTGTATTTAACCAAGACCCGATAATTTCACACATACTTAAGTTTGACTCTGACAGAGTCGGACATTTCCAGCAATAACGGTGTGTTCAAGCATTAGGAGTTCAGCTAAAATCCAATTTTCTGTTCTAGCCTATTAATAAAAGCAGCATTTTCACTGATCATTTGTCTCCCTGCAACGTTATACCAGGTTGTTCTAAAGACAGCTGTTAGTAGAGGCTAAGATGTGCCAGATTTGTCTTTGCAACAATGAAGTTGATGTCCAGGAAGTTTGTGTTTTATTCTGAAAGGCAGCTTGGACCATGCAAAGCCTTTTACTCCGCTCAGGGCAAAGCCTGATACGTTTTTTGTAACTTCATACCTGTGGAGGTTTTTGTTTTTATAAAACATAAACAACCGGGAGCATTTCTAATCGATCAGTGGTGTTTCCTTATCCTGGTTCTCGGTATGTTTAGAAGTGTGTGTGTGTGTGTGCGTGCGTGTGTGTGCGTGTGCGTGTTGTAAAGGATGTTGCCTAACGTAAAATTTGCCTTGTAGGCATTTCTGTAATGCTGTTTTTGTATGAGGGCGTGTCGGAACACATCAAACGACTGAGCACAAGAATGCCATTTTATTATAAAAAAACTTTGTATGTGTGTATAAAAGTAGAATACATGTGTACATTTAACAGAAATATAGTTATAGTAACAGTACAATAATAGACAGGTAATGATGGAACATAAAGAGTCTGATGTCACAAATGTCCAGTAAAGTACCACCATGCCATTTTCCTTCCAGTTCAGGTCTGGTCTTTAAACGTTCCTGCCTTGTAGATTAGGAGTAACATGCTACCGTTTGCTGTATTTGCTAGTAATCTATACAATAATGAAGAATATTTACTTTTCATGACAAAATGTATCAATCATTAGGCCTAAACTGGATTTTGACAGTTCTTGCATATTTGTAAGTTTGGAAAGTTTTCAGCCTATTTTGTTTTTTCTATTTATTTAGGCTCATTTTAATCTGAATTCAGTTTGACTTTCTTTCCATTGCCCTTCTGTGTTAAAAATAAAAGACTGTAATGTGTCGATAAGACAAGTTGTGAGGTGTGTAGATAATGTTGATGGGGCTGAAAACCTTAAAAATGCTTTGTGTCTAAAGGCAATGCTGGGTTTTTTTTTTATGTTGCATTGGATATGTCCATTTATCAAATAAATATAACCAACTATAACCATGTAGACGTTTCACAGCTCCAGCACCTTGAGGGACTGCTTTTTTAAAGCATCAGCTGGTAACCAGAGGAGTAAATCAGGACATTTTCTGGTATCAGCAGTTAGTTTGCTTCATGTAACTTCTGGTTTCATAGTGAGTCCTAGCTCAGTGGTCTGCAGCAGTGTCCCATCTACTTCCTCACTAGAGATACCAGGAGAAGAAGAAGAAAATATCATTTCTATAGCGCCTCTCAAGATAAAAATCACGAGTGCTTCACAAAAACACAACATATAAAAAAAGATGCTTTACAGGATTATCAATCGTCATCAACTAAAGTAACGATGTACGAGATGAGTGCCATCAGGACAGGAATGGAGATTATGAAGATAACCCACAGCACAATGGAGAGGATGCTGTACTTTCTGGCCTTTTTGGAAAGTCTTCTAGCCTTGTCACTTGTTGCATGCTCCGCCTGGGGAGGGAAGCACATTTAACAATTCAATCAGCATTTGCTTAGGATAGAAAAATATCAATTAGACATTATATTATGACCACCTGGTTATTCTACTGGGTAAAACTTGGTAAACATTTTTACAGACCAGCCACACGACAACAGCTGAGGCATAATGTTGCTGGTCCTTTACAAAACATTTTATTTCTTTTTTTGGTTGAGGCAATACTCAAAATTAATCAGATGCAACTCCGTTCATCCTGAAACCAGAAACACACCAGCGGTTGCCAAAGCTGCAGCTCTGAATGTTGTTAAATGCCAAATTAAGCTTTAAATCATCTGAAATCTTTCTTGTTGCAGCTTTTCACAGTAGTAGGAAAGTTGTTCATTGGTAGCTGAGGATATTTGTATTTTATACATTTTGCAGAGTCCTAAGATCACCCAAGGCACTTCACAACACTTCAGTCATTCATCCATTCACACAAACATTTGCTCACTGGTGGCGATGAGCTACATGGAAGCCACAGCTGCCCTGGAGTGCACTGACAGAGGCGTGGCTGCAGAGCACAGGCGCCTTTTCTGGCCCAAGGACGGCGACTGAGCAAGGTGCAAACCTGCAACCCACTGGTTACAGGGTGGCCACTGTCGTCACCATTTTCATAACTAGCTTGTTTATTTAGCTATAATTCACAAATCTCTGTGTTTTGAATGCTGGAACCAGTAGATTACCTCCTGGTGACCTTTGTTATGATTGTTCAGAACATTTTGACGCAAAAGTAAGGGCAAATACTAGAATGTCTGACTGGTGTTTGTTTTAAGCTGGAATAACAGTGTTTTTGAAATTTTCCAAATACAATCTTCCTAACAGCAAACTGTCTCATCTTCAGACCGAAGCCTAAAAATGAAGGAGAGATGAAATACCTTGACTGAATATATCAGAGCTTTGAATCCAATGCAGGAGAACCCACAGATGATGCTGCAGATGGCCAGCCTCCTGTGGAATTCGTTGTACCGGAAAGCTGCGCAAAAACCTCTTTTCGTGTGGTTTTCTTGATGATCAGCGTCGCTTTGATCAGCTGATCCTGGTGTGGTGGTCAGTGGGATATTAACCTCAGTTGAGCGTTCCATTTCTGCCAAACAAAGGTTACATTTGTGAAATGTTTCCTGTTTTGAGCTCATTGTAGTTATTAAGACTCTTTAAAGTCAGTTTACTCCATAAATACAAGCAAATCTTCCTAAAAGAACCTAGAAATGCGTTTAACCAACTTTGTTCACTGTAACAGTCAAGAAATATTTCCAGATTGTTTTTGTCTTCTCTGTTTGGGGTCCACTCTGATCTGTTTTCTCAAGCTCTTGACAGCAAATGTCACCTGAGTTAAAACATGTTCCTCCAAATATCCAGGCAGTGAGTCATGATGTGGAGACTTAAGGTCCTTGTTTTTGAAACAGAAAGCACCCTCTGATAGTTGCACGTTTAAAACCATAGCTGTAACAAAGTAGGTGTCCAACTTGCTTGGCTGGTATAGATAGTTACACTGAAAACTTGAAATGTTAGTTATTTGATCTTCACCTCAATCAAAGAGCAGCACACAAGCGTAGACATGCTGTTTTCTTCAGAAAACGTGACGGAGTGTTGCACAGGTCTTGTTGTGTAATATTAAACAGCCCAGTGAATCATTGGTCAAAAGGACTGGCTAAGTCCTCAGATGTGACCAGATCACACAACTAAACACAAGCTGATTGGAACAGTTTTTGTTTTTGTCTGTGCCGAGCAGTGGGTGATTGTCCAACCCAATCATTTTGATAATTTTACCAAATCTAATGTTTTTAATGAAATCAACCCCTGATTTGAAGGTTTACATAAAGTACAAACCTGATTATAAAGTACTGCATAAAATCCTCTTCGCGGTTTCAACTCTCAGCAAAAGGTTTGTCCCGTTTGAACCGATCAGGAATGCTGGTAGGTGTTTTATCTGTGTCACCTGAGATTCCCCCAACCTGCTGCTTACAGTGTCCTCCTTTGAATGAGTAAAAATCCCTCGCTGAGACATCCAGACACAGTCCTTTTTAGGTGAAACAACTCCTCAGAGGGAAACTTGCCTCTCTGAAGGCTCAGTGTCATATAAGTTGTTGAATGACAGGGAGGCACGCTAACTGTTAAGTGAAACTCGGCCTGAAACTTCCACGCCCATTTACACACGAAGAGGCTCGCCTGTATTCCTATTTTGTGTCACACACACACACACACACACTTGTTACAGTTTTCTTCCCCCTTGCTCCCTTACTGTCTTTGATGTGTTTTCAACAAGGACTTTAAAATCTTGTCAGTTGTGATATCAATCCTTTGGAGTTACAATCTCCATGTTTTTCTTTTCAGTCCACATTCCAGAGTCAAAAAGCAAGGTGTGTCTGCACTTGTAAGGCCTTGGGCTGAAACCAGCTGGTTCAAACAGTTCTTTTGACTGAATCCTCTTTAGATATTATTGTTTAGTAAGTATTGATCTTCTGACACCACAATGACAATGCTTTAATGCAACATAAGTTCAGGTTTTCTGTCCCATTCCTCACAGATAAGACAAATCAACATCCTCAGACTCAGTGATGACGGTAAAATCAATATATTTCGTTCCCAGCAATCACTGCTGACTTCACTTACGCAGCTGTTTCCTTGGGTAAACACAACATTGGGAGTGACTTAAATTCAGTTGTGGCAGCTGGATGGGTGAGATTCTTGCACTAGTCACACAGACTCATCCCTGCTGTCAACATCATCATGGCTTGCTCATCTTATGATTGCTAACTGCTTTAAAGCAACAAAAATGTGAAGCAACCACAAAAAGTCTGAGAAGTTCATTCACACTTTACTTCTTTTTCATACAAGGATGAAACTTTTTTAAATTAAAAGTTATTTGGCTCTGAGCTTCTGCTAAGAAAAAAATGTCAACAATGAAATCTGTGGAACAAGAATCATAAAAAATTCAAATGATTCCTTCAGTTGTTTATGATTAAAATTCAATGCGTAAAGGGATGGTTCAGACGTTTTGGAGTGTGTTTCTGTGGAAATGTTTTCATCTTACCTATCTTAGCTGTTTACACACAAAAACACACACACACACAAACACACACACATAGATATATTAAATTCACAGCACAATATCATAATTTATGCATCAAATAATACAACCACAAACACTGCTGGATCTTTATTATTATTATTGTTTACTTTTCTGTTATTTATTAACATACTATTTTATACATTTAGATACTTATTCCATCTTATTCACATGAAGGCGTCATATTTTAGCTACTCACACACACATCTATGGGTGCACTAAGATTTGTCTCATGGAACGTACATGGAGCTGGCTCCATAGAGAAAAGATTAAAGATTTTTGATCAGCTAAAGAGAGTGCAAGCAGACGTAATATTATTACAAGACTCATAGATCTGCCACATCCGCAGATGAACTTAAAACACCTGAGTTTCCCAGCATGTTCTCTACCTGCTATAACTCTAGGCA